CGGCAGGCGAAGACGGGCGCCAACGGCTCCGAGTACCTCGTCGAGCGCTGGCGCGGCCTCGCGGAGACGGACCCGCTGCGCCTCGAGTTCGACGAGCTCGCGCGGCGCGACGTCGCCGCGGCGGCGGCCGACGAGCTGCCCGTGGACCGGCTCCAGCGCGTGCCCGACCCCGGCCTCGTGAACCTGCCGACGATCTGGCCGCGCATGCGGTTCTCCTTCCGCGTCGCGACTTCGAGGCGTCGAGCGACGGAGGCTTTTTCACGCGTCCAGGTACGCGCAGCCGGAGTGCGGCGTGCCCTACCCCTACGGCTCCAAGCTCGGCCTCTTCAAGGGCCGCGTCGGCGGCGGCGTCCGAGGTTTCGAGCGGTTTGCGTCCGTCTCGTCCGAGACGCGCGTCCGCGAGCGACTCGATGCCTTCGATTCGACGCCTCCGCCGCGCGAAACTTCCGCGCGCTCTAGTGCTTCGGCTGCTGCGTCTGGGCCCAGTGCGCCGCGCGGCCGGAGGAGTTCCCGAACCTGCTCAAGGCCCTGGCGACGGTCCCGCGCGTACGCGAAGCCGCGTCCTCGGGTTCGAGCTGTCGCATCGACGCGTCGTGTTTTGTAGGTCTCGCTCTACCTCACGGCGGTGCTCCGGCCCGCGCCTCCTGGCCCACGGCGCGCATCTCTGGATCGCGCCGCCGCTCGCTGGTCGACGTCAACGACATGGAGACGCTCCGCGCGCGCGCGCGTCGGACGGCCGCGTCCTCGTTCTGCAAACGTGTTTCGAGAGCCCGCGCGAGAACGGGGGTCTCGCTCCAGGGGCATGTTCTTCTCGTAGGCATGTGCTACCGCGTCATCCGCGACGCGAAGCGGCGGAGCAGCTGCGTTCACCCGCCGCGGGCCGAGGACGACCAGTGCCCCGCGTACTACGGCGTCGACCTCGTCCAGCACCACGGCAAGCCCGTCTGCCGCTTCACGGTCCACGAGGGCACGAAGACCGTCGGAACGAAGCACCCGATGAGCGCCCCGGCGGACCGTCGGTCTTCCCGCGTCGAAATTTTGTTTCTCGAGACGCCCCGGACCCCGCGGCCCGTAGCGCGCTTCGAGGCCGTCGGCGGCGGCGGCAGCTCGCGCGGCAACGTCCTGAAGCACCCGACGGCCGTCGCCGTCTACCGGCGCGATCTCGGCGTCCTCGTCCCGCGCCCGTGCCCTCACAGCCCTCGCAGCGAGCGCCTCGAGCGCAAGAACCGCATCGCCGGCGGCGCGACCGCGGCGTCGGACGGACCGAAACCCGTCGTCGATGTTCGAAACCCGTCTCCCGCGCAGGCATCGCCGTCTTCAACTTCCCGTGGCACCCCTACGCGCGTCGCCGGCGCGCCCCGCGTCCTCGTGTCGTCACTGTGTCAAATCGTAGGAGGCGCTCCGGTCGCTGGAGAACGCCTTCGCCGAGTTCATGCCGGTACGTGGCTTGTCGGCGGATTGCTCGTTCCGACGCGCGCCCTTCGCAGGAACGCTTCTACGGCATTACCGACAATCCAAAGGACGGCTGCCCCAAGGGCAAGGTCCTGGCGCGCGCCCAGATCCCGGGCGGCCGCAACACCCGCATCACCTTCGGCCTCTACGACTCCAAGGTCGAGGTCGCGCCGCCGCGTCCCCGGAGTCCTGCGCGACGACGGACCGCGACATCTTCTAGGCCGCGGCGCACTTCAACATCGGCACGACGGTCATCGGCCAGATCGTCGGCGAGCGGCTCCGCTGGCTCAACGACCCGATGGACCCGGGCGCGACCGCGGCGTCTCGTTTCGCGAAAACGCGTTCGCACGACGCGCGACCCCTCGCAGAGATCGCCGCGGTCAAGGCCTCTTGCTCCAGTGTCTCCCATCGACGCCTCCGCGACGTCGCCCGCGTAGGTCTCCATCCAGGAGAAGCACCGCATCTCCGAGGTCGTCGTCGCGCGCATCGAGGAGCACAACGTCGAGCGCGCCGAGGCCGAGAAGCCGCTGCCGCCGCTCCACGTCGCGGGCGCGTCGCGGCGTCGACACCTCGCAGTCGTTTCCAAACTGAACGCCAATCACAGGCCTCGAGCGCTACAAGGCCGACTTCGCGCTCCAGCTCAAGGATTTGGCGTACGTCGAGGCCGCGGACGAGGCCTACCTCCGCGACCAGGCCGCGGCGTTGGCGCCGCCCGAGCCCATGCCCGACGGCTCCCGGCCGCCGATCGACGCGCACTCGCGGCGCGTCGCGCGCGCGGGCCTCGCGAACACCTTCGAGCGCATGATCGAGCGCCGCCGCGACCGCGCCGCGCGCGAGCGCGAGGAGGCCCAGGCGCGACGCCGCGTCCGGTTTTTGACAATGATTTTCGTGACTTGTCCGCCCCACGCAGACCGCCGCGTCGACGGCCGCCGTCGCGAACTTCTACCGCGACCCGTGCGGCCTCCTCGAGCCGCGGGCGCTCGCGCCGCCCGGCCAGCCGCGCCGCGTCGCCAAGCTCTACGTCGTGCCCAACTGCGAGATCGTGTCGCCGCCGCCGCCGCCGATCTACCACGTCACGGAGAACGGCGAGCGGCTCCTCGTGCTCTACGCGACGCGCGTGCAGCGGCCGCTGATCCCCGCGATCCAAGCGGTGCACAAGCAGCGCGCGGACTTCCTCTCGCTCTTCGACGAGTCGGAGGTCGAGATGGCCGCGGCCATGTTCGACTCGCGGCCCATCGAGATCGCCCGGCCGCTGCTCTTCGAGTCCGAGGAGGACGCGGAGCGCCGCGCCGAGCCGGCCGCGCCGAAGCGCAAGCGCAAGTCGCGCAAGAAGAGCGCAAGGTGCGCGCTTTCTTTCCGGTGTCGTTTCAACCGCGATGATCTCTCGTCGCTCGCAGGCCGCCGCCGCCGCCGCCGCCGCCGCCGCCGCGGAGCGGGGCGACGAGGCGGCGCCCGCGGCCGACGGCGCCGCGGAGCCCGCGGCCGCGCCCGAGGCGCCCGCCGAGGCGCTCGCCGAGGCGCCGCCGACGGCGCCGCCCGTCGAGGCGCCCGCCGAGGCGCCGCCGCCGGCCGCCGCGCCGGCCAAGAAGAAGAAGAAGAAGCGGTCGCGCCGCCGCGGCCCCGCGCCGCCCGCCGAGATCTCCGAGTACGAGCGCACGCGCATGCGCAACATCGCGGCCGGCAACAAGAAGCTCTACTCGCTCGGCCTCATCCACCCGCCGCCGGAGGTCGTCGCCGACCCCGAGCACTCCTGGTGGTCCGAGCGCGCGAGGACCCGCGTCTTTTTGGTTTCGCGCCTTCAACGCACGCGCGCTCCCGCAGGCCCAGTCGTGAGCCTCGGACCTCGACGCCATCTCCCAAGCGAGCCTCGGACCTCGACGCCATCCCCCAAGCTCCCCTGTCTACGAACCCCACTGCATGCACTAGGAAGCGCCCCCAGCGCTTCCCCGAGCGGCCCGCCCCCGACGCGGTCGCCCCGCGCCCAGCCGCCTCCGATAAAAAGGCCTTCAGCCACCACGTTAGTCCGGCGCGGCGCGCGACACCTGGCGCCACTTCTCCGCGATGAGCGCGCCAAAGGTCGCGGGCGTCTCCGCGGCGCAGGCGCCGTCCGGGGCCTGGCAGGCGAGGAGGCTCAGGCCCGCGTGCGCCGCGTTCGCCGGCGGCACCGGCGCGCCGCTGTCTGGGTACGCGAAGAAGACCTGCGCGGCGCGCCCGTCGGCGACGCGCGGGTCCCGCCCCCCTCGAACCGAGCCCCCTGCTACCGGCGCCGCGTCGCGCGATCGACAGCCGCGGCGCCGGGCCGAGGACGACGCGGTGCCGCGGGCTCCGGACGCCGCCGACGGCGAGGGCGAAGAAGTCGCCGGCGTTGGCCACGAGGGCGCCCGCGGGCGCGCGCGCCGCGCGCCACGCGCCGCCGTCGTCGTACTCGAGGCCGCCGCCGCCGTCGACGTCGTCCGCCGCGACGAGCGTGACCTGGGCAGCAAAAGAGAGATTCAACGTCGCTTCAACGTGAGTGTTCCGCGCGCGCGCGTTCCGGAAAAAGCATCCACGCTTCGAGACCGTTCCGAGAGATGATGCGCACGTCCCAAAATCAGCCGAAACGAGTGA